GTACCCCAGTACTTTGTCCCACTTGGCCTTATCGTCTGGTTGGGCTAGCACCTCCGCTCTACACTCCTGCACCTTTGCCACTGTTGCGGTCATCTTGTTCACTTCCTCTCTCCTCCTCTTCTTCTCCCTCTTCATTCTCAACTTCCATGCTAACTTTTGCTCGTCTTCCCTCTCTCTTCGTTCCATCAGGTCTGTCATGGCTGCTAGCTCGGCGGCCAGCGCAGCCTTCTCATCCTTAGTCACATAGGACTTCGCCTCCTCGTCTTCTCCCAACGATAAATTAGCAACCCACTCGCTAATCGTCTTCTCCAGCCCTGTATCTGTCTCCCTCGTCATCGTACCACCACTACTCCCTTCTCCACTCTCAATCCTCATCCTCTCTTTCTCTTCCTCTGCTGCCGCTTCTGCTTCAGCAGCTTTTCTTCTTTCTTCCTCCTCTTGTTGTACTTTCATCTCCTCCTCCAATCTCTTCATCTTCGCCGCCTGTTCGTCTGCGATAGCCTTTAGCGTCGCTTGCTTCTCACGCTCTTTCCTCTCCCTGTTCTCTCTGACTAAGGCAGCCATTTTTTCTTGCTGCTCCTGACTATAGGGATTAGTCTCTAACCCAGTACGGGTCTCAACCATGGTGATAGGTGCACAATCAGGATGATTCCACTCCTCACCACGTAGACTCTAACCCCTAACTAACAAACCTATCGACTTAATCTAAGACTTACAGAATCCTGACAGGGATCCTGTCAACTATGGTCTCTAGCCTGGACCTATGTTATGGCTGTCACTACTGAACCAGTGGCTGATCAGGAGGCATTTAAGGAGATCCCCCGTAACTCAAGAATTCTTTAACGTCGCAGACAGGACGACGTTATCAGCTTGGTTTTGCCTGTGCTTTCAGCCCACAACTCAGCCTTTCCAGCCTACTGTGCCACACTGAGCCGCCCGCCGGTCTGTACCGGTCCTTGGGAGGGTTCGTATCCCCCGGGACAGTCGAGTCGTCAGACACAGATCATCAGCCTTACTTGGTCTGGTAGGGGAGTGGTTCCAACAGGCCCTCAACACTTAAAGACGGCCTCCGTTTCAGCCTGCAGCTCAGAGTTCGGACCCTCTACACTGAAACTGAGCATACTTGCCAGACAGTACCGGTCATTGGGCTAGACGAGTTGTTTAACGAACACTCGCCGCTCATGCCCAGGTCTCCAGATACCAGAGTAGAGATTGGTCCTACTAAGTCTCGTGCAGGTTTGGCAGCAAGGCCCTATCCTTCATCCAAAGAGTTCTATGATGGACAGAAGAGACTCAATGCAGAAAGAATAGACAGACAGACTGTACTCAGCAAGTACCAAGGGGTATGTGCACATCCATAGGGCAAGGGGCAGGCTCAGGGCTTGGCGAGATGTTACCGACTTCAGCTTGGTCAAAGTCTTGGTCAACGCCTTGGTCAACGCCTTGGTCAACGCCGGTCAACGCTGCTATGACCCTCGGTCAACTTCGGTCAACTCCGGTCAACGCCTCCGGTCAACTCCCCGGTCAGCTATGGCTGCCGGCATTTCTTCCTCGCCAATCCCCTTCTTCTTCCTT